GTTAAATACGGGATGTACTTTGTGTTATCGAAGTGCGCAGTAGTTGAACAAAACTGGTAAGGGATTTTACCTGTACGTACCGCAAGGGGATAAAAATGAACAAATACAGTGACAGTTTATTATCGAGCCGTTTCACACCTGGTGGAAGCCTAATTGACACCTCTAAGACGGATATTTGATGGTCATCATCATTACCAGGTCCCTTGTTGTGATGAGTAGCAAAATTGGAGGAGCAAAAGGAGGTACGAGTACCGAGAACGTTCTCGAACGCACGAAGTGCACAGGTGGTCACACTGATTGAGACGACTGCTCCTTTCACTGTTTATGGCGTAAGAATGCGCTCGTGTCTGTCGAACATGGACATAATAAATAATGACGCGAAGAGATCAATCTCAACACAGGCTGATAGTCGTTTCGGTCAAGAAGCTATTTTCTATCATTTGGCAGCTAAAAGCGATTCAACGCCTCCGCTAATCGGTATGTGCACCAACTAGGACTCCAGTTTGTCAACTAAAATATGACAACTGTATTGATCGGAATGTGACCAAGAACTTATGTTTATCACAAATCCAAAAGGTCTTGAAAGTGGTTATTGCACAATGATAGCTAAATATACAATGGTCAGGTAATTAAACAACCTGAAAATCGATGAAATTGTGATGTCTCTACTCCAAGGTGCTGGATTGTCTCATATTACCCTCTCTCTACTCCAAGATTATTTTGCTGGTAGAACACAATTCACGAAGTTTCTGGGAAAAACCTCTGACTCCCTACCAGTCAACTCAGGGGTGCTCCGGAGAGCAATTCTGTCCCTCTTTCTTTTCTCTTTCTATATTCGTGACCTTTCCACCAACCCAGATGATCTCTTTATTAAATATGATGTCACGATAGGTTCCAAATTCCAAGGTGATCTCCGCTTCTCACATTTTCAAACCAGTTTATCTGCCTTAAACTTATGGTCTTCGTCTTCCAGGTTAACTCTCAATGCATCGGAAGCCAGCGATGTCACCTTTTCACTCGCCAAAGGAAAACGGCTACATTCTTTTGAAAGAAATTGTTCTGCACTCTATGTTGACAACCAGTCTATTCCCCCAGTAAATTCTCCACAGTACCTCGGTGTCACTAACTGCCAAGATCTCACCTAGACCTCACATTTAAATTCTACTTTTGTAAAGATTCGACGGTTGTTTCTTCATCTCCGGCTTGCGTTATTTAAAAGCTCCCCTGTATTTACTCACTCGATTTGTATATTATTGTGTTACTCATCTTCTCTACTGCTCCCCAGTTTTATTTGCCGGTCTCAGAGCGAAAGATTACACAATTCTACACCGGTCTATGAAAATTATTTCTCGCACTAGCGGTATTACTTATTTGCACTTGCTTAACTTTATCGCCGACAAACATTTTACCTCCTGCGACAATATTCTATCATACATCACTCACCCATTACACACAGAACTTAAACAATGCATATTCACTTCGGTAATCAGATATCGTTATAAACTGGTGTATGCTC